TGAAGCAACTGCCATGTGATTGGTTGATTAGATAATTGCATTAATGAGAAATTGAACAGGTGTTCCTAATAATCCTTTAGGTGAGTGTATATATGTTCCATCTCACTTTGGACACTGGGTTTATTTGGGGCTTGATTTCTCCGTCTCACTTTGGACACTGGGTTTATTTGGGGCTTGATTTCTCCGTCTCACTTTGGACACTTGGCTTATTTGGGGCTTGATTTTTCTGTCTCACTTTGGACACTTGGAGAAATCAAGCCCCAAATAAGCCATCTCCCTTTGGACACTTGGCTTATTTGGGGCTTGATTTCTCCGTCTCACTTTGTATACTGGGTTTATTTGGGGCTTGATTTCAGGGGTGAGGTTGCTTGGCAACACTGGCACTTATACTTCAGATTTCAAAATGCCATTCATAAGACATGTAATGTTACAATATTACTTAACCATAGATTACGTGAATTGAATACATTATGTTGTTTCACTGCATCTTCTGTAGGGCTAATATGCAGTATTTTAAAAATATACAGTAGATGGCTGATAATATTGGGTTCTCCAACACCATCCAGCACATACACATGGCACAGGAACTTTTTTCTCTGTCCTACTGTAGTTCCCCTTGAGGCAGTTCTGGAACCCTTTTTTAGTCCCTACTCCAGACTTTTCATCCAAACACAAGATGCTTTCACACCAAAGTTCTGGAACCTGGTCCCCGGTTACAAGTTCCTATGATGTCTTGACTGAGAACTTTTGAAGCTCCTGGATCTAGAAAATTTTGCAGGGGATGAAAGGATGGCATGAAAAATTTTAAGGGATTGCAAAACAAAAACATTATTTAAATTTTTATTATTATTATGTTATTACATATTTTTAAATTATTTTATTATAATATAGTTTGGGACCCCTGTCTTAGAAGTTAATGGACCAAATGGTTTTGCAGAGGTGAGACCAAAGGAGCATGACAAGCTGAAGACATTTGCTTTGTGTTTTATTACAGTTAAATCTTACGTTCAGGAAAAAGCTTGCCAAGGTATGACGTGAAACTCAGTAAATTTTAACAGGCTTTAACTGAGCATTCCTGCTAGCCTGAGTCACTGGGTCCAGGCTCAGTGGGCGGAGCAGCCCCACGATCCAGCTGGAAATAGATTTGGCTACATTTCATGTCATACTTCACAGTGACGTCTCACTGATGCACATTCCAAAACTGTAATCCACACTGCAAGCTGGCTGGTTCGCAGTGCTCAGGTGCAAGGTGCGCAGTAAAATAAATAAATAAAGATTAATTAATATATGCAGAATATCCACTGATGTCTGATCATTATGAGATCATTATGAGATCATTACAGTAACAATGGCATAATATAGATATACAGGAATGATAAACAAAGGTAGAGTATCAATAGCCTATTTTTCTTTTTTGCTGCCAACTGAATTTATGAGTGAACTCCCAGGCGATCCGTACTGTGACCAAGCACGTTTGAGCCAGTTTGTTTGACTAGAGTTATCGCTCCATACCAGTTTCACCTCTAATGGCAGCTGAGCACGGAACACAGACATGATGTCAATGATGCGACTAACCCATGCATGCGCACAGAAGTGTTTTTAAAGTATTTTAAAAGCACTGAGTAATAATATTCAAGTACTGAAATTCAAGATATTCAAGATATTGTTTCAACCAACCAATTGAGTGTGAAGAGTCACAGTTACAGAGTACTCAACTGGTTGATTGAAACATAATCTTGGTCTGGATTTTTACTTTTGGAACCTGAATTACCAACTTCTACTTGAAGGTGAAGATTTAGTACATCAGATGACACAAAGCTCAACACTTCTTAAATGTAAATGTAAGCATTTGTGTGACCACTTCCTATAGCCCAAGTACCCAAAGTAATAGGCTGTGTCAAAGTCTCTGATCATGCAGTTTCTTGTCATGTGAGCTATCACAACATCACTCAAAGTGCACTGCATAATGTGCACTGCATAATGTGCACTGCATGCTGATCACAGAGTTCCATCCTAAACAAAGCATGTTTTGTTTTAGTTCCCACACCATGACATCCAGGTATTCCTGCCAGATAATGTTCTGCTTTTCACAGAGTTTTGTGCTTTGATGTTCTCCTGATACACATCTTGTGATGTACTGTATTCGGTGAAGCTTCACATTAACTGCACCTTCATAATGCATTCATTATGCATTCATAGTACATTCAAAAGCAACATGTAACTATACCTTAACATCCTAGCATATTTTAACAGCTTTAATATATATTAAAAACAAACATTATTATACAATCACAATGTTCTTTATTATAACAAAATGTTTGTTATTAATGTATATTAAAGCTGTTAAGCTATGTTAGGATGTTAAGGTATAGTATGTTATGGTATAGTTACATTTGAATTACATTACTATTCCTTTATTTTTTATGACAAATTATGACAAACCTGATGCTGCTATAGCAAAAAAACAGAGTTGCTTTCATTTTAAATCCTTTTACACATTTTGACCTGTGCAGTTTAAGTATTGAATGCTAAATGTTGCTAGATGATGATCATTACATCATTTAGAAACTTCCGGTGATATTAAGGTCACAATGAGGATCAGAAGAAATGTTTCCCAGACGATGTAAAGTTAAATAATCAGTTTTAAACAGCTTTTGGTGAACCAATGCCATGATTATAGACTAGATCTTTTTAAAATCAGGCTTATGTAAGGCTGAGCATTTTTATCCATGATTTCTAAGCCAATAAAGACTGTGTGGTTTTGTGAGACAAATTAAAGTCTGTCTGCTGGTTTCTGCGGCTTTGGGAAGGTTAGGGTTAGGGTTAGGGTTAGGGTTACGGTCAGAATGAGAACAGACATACTAGTCTCTGGACATCTGTCTGACCTCAAGGGTCTTAAAAGAAAACGTTTTGAATAAATCTGTTGGATGTGTACATAAATGTGTAAGAAATCTTCGTAAACAATGAAGAACCAACAAAAGAGCATTCTAAGCGATCTCAATAAACTCCACTTTTACTTGGCTTATGGCAGACTGAAGGCTTTCTGGAAGGTCCATTCCACCTACTGAGATGGAGTATGGGCCAGAAATGAAGACAGAACTGTATCAGTCAAGGAAATCCCGAAACACTGGCAAATTCACACGTTACCATGCCATTCACCCAGACGCGGGCAAACGAAATACAGCAATTTAAAGCTTTACCATACATAGTGATTTTCTGTCTTTCATTACAAAGAAAAGGAGTGACATCAAAGACAATATCTTGGATATGTGTTGTATATCTGACAAGAATTTTACACATCACAGACAAGATGTTTCATTAAGTGCAATGTAGACTGTAAATCCCTGTACCCTAGAAAACATGCAGCCAGCCCTAACCTGTATCTCCCCCAATCAACAACAAAAATGCTGTGAGCAGCAACGTTTTCAGACTATGGAAGTATCTTCCTATTCAGCCTCGTCCTGAACTTCCCCAGTCTCCATACAATGTTAATAATACTGCTTCTTCTCTTCACAGTTAATATATGTGGCACATATATACAAGATCAGGTAAGATTGTTTCACAATTTCAAAAAATTGCGTCTATTAATCTATTGCAGGTCCGACCTCCAACCATCTGCACAGAATCACCATCCCCAACATTCTACAGCTGACAGCAACACTCAACTTCAAATGGGCTTGGCAGGGGGGGGGGTAACTTTTAGCTGTGTGGTCATTGCATTGACAAATAACAATAGACTGATTCAGCTAAACAATAACAATGACAAACAATGGCGTTCACGATGGCTGTGATTGTCCCCATTATTGCACAGTCAATAGACGCATGCAATTTTGGTGGAAACACATTCTCTGCATGTGAATGTTCAGCTTTCAGTGATGTGACATAACACACGTCACACTAAACAGCAGAATAGCGGATGTGTACATTACTGAGCAGGGACATGTTTCCCAATAGCATAGCTGCTTATAACATTAGTAACTTAAACCAGGGGTGTCAGACTCCAGTCCTGGGGGGCCAGAGCCCTGCACATTTTTGGGTTTCCCCTCATTTAACACACCTGATTCAACTGCTTGTGCTAATTACCACACAGCACATGAGCTGAATCATTTATGGTGGAACAGGGGAAGATCTAAGCTACACTGGGCTCCGGCCCCCCAGGATTGGAGTTGGGCTCCCCTGACTTAGATAGTCGGAACCATGCACCTGGTTCAGACGATGTAAGTTGGAGTGGATTGGTTGCAGAGTTGAGTGTCGTTCCACGCTATTGGCTTGCTGACGGTGACCATGCAGACTACAATACACTAGACCTTCTTTGATCAAACTGATCAGGTACCAGCATCTTGATCTTCGTGAGGGGAGTCCAAGAGCTGCCTGAAATCTAGTCTTATATTGGATCAACAGCTGTGATCAATCAGGGTGGATTAAAAGGAATATTAAATAGCCTCACTTTGCTTTGGCTTGTTCTTTGTGTCCTAATGCAAGATGACTAAGACTGCATTAGCTCTAAGACGTAAGAGATACACGGTGTGCATCTAGAGTTTCCTTCAAACTCAGTCCAACGGATTTTCATATGATTTAAGTCATCGCAATTATGTAACATTTTCATGCTGGGCGAACATAAAGCAAACGTGTTACTTAAAGGGAAAACGGTGATTTAAGACACATTTACAAGTACACAATTTCGCTAAAGGCACCACTGAAAAACTTTCCCGAAGAATAGTAAAACTTTAACGTGCCAAACCTTAGGGTAGCCCGAGATCTCCTATAGGTAGCAGCGAGGCACAGCCCAGAATACGACAAGCGATCTCGAGAAGCATACAATTTGAAGAACCCATACAGCTACAGGTTTCCTGTCGTGCAGAAACCAAAGAAACACGTCTCAGGTAGAATGCAATTTTAGTCATTTTTGTTTGATAACAATACTTTAAAATTGATCATTTCAATTATTATTTTGAACTCGGGAATCGTGATTTGCTCCGTAAATTCCATTTAAAAGTCTAATCATCAGAAAATTAATTGCAACGACATGCTGAGAAGCACGACCGACGTCTGCCTGTCTCTCATTGCGGTTGTCATCACCCTAGCAGACGGTGACCGAGTCGCTGTGGTTAATTCCACCGGCTCCGTTTCAAACACCGGCGGGTTGTCCGGCGTTAATTTCTCGGTCAGTAATGCAGACACATCTAGGAGCAGGCAGAAGCGGTACATTTCACAGAGCGACATGATCGCCATCGTAGATTATCATAACATGGTCCGGGCAAATGTCTTCCCACCAGCAGCCAACATGGAGTACATGGTAAGTGTCAACTAATTACTTAAAACTATGACAGGTTATTTCTCCATAAGTAAATGCATGCAGTCATTTGTAACTCAGATAAATACATGTAATATGTGCTACAATATGTAAAATCGTGAACATTACAAACGTAAATGTATTTATTTGTTAAAATTTTATTGTAAATGATAGTTTACAATGACCACTATTTTGATCACTGTAGCATATTTACATTACCAGGTGTTTTTAAGTTTGGTAGTCTATTTTTAGTTAACACTAAAGCTGGATGCTAAATTGAATTGGAGGACAGAGGAATGCGACATGGCGTTATAAATTATAGATCGTATTTTATTTCTGAGGATCACAAGTCCCCACATAAAAGTTTAACTGACGGTTTGAGTTGGGTTGGGAAATTATGTCATACAAACCCCGCAATTATGTTATCATTATCCATGTCATGGTGCATTCCTATATAACCACTCAAGATATATATTCATATCTGACTGCAGTGGACACACGTTATATTCTAAAAATTGTGAAGATGCCTTCAAAATAACCTGTGTAGACATGCCTAGAGCTCACCGAAGACTGGTCTCCAAATGCAACCCTACATTTGACTCCTAACGTGACCACCATCAAGGATTTGGTCAAGCCAACATCTCTGTCCCTGCCCACCCAGGTCTGGGATGACGGCTTGGCCAAGTCAGCAGAGGCTTGGGCGGCCACATGCATCTGGGATCACGGGCCGTACTATCTGATGCGGTTCTACGGCCAAAACCTCTCGGTCAGGACGGGCCGGTATAAAACACTTGCATCTTATTTCTTTGGGGGCGTTTTTCAAACGGACCAGCTCTGCCATTGATAGTCACGAAAGACTGATATCTTTATTCTGCTGACATACATATTTATAATCTTTTGTAGTAGGCCTAATGGTCAACATGTGCCTTACATGTGTCTCATCAGTCCATAGGAACAGACGCCCTGTTCTGCGTACAGTGTGTGTCAGTATTATCTGTACACTATAGGGGCGTTTGTTACAATGGGGCCCCTGGCCAAACTTTGCAGTTAATATATACCTTTAGCAATACTTTATTTTCAAGGGGCATTTATGTATTTAGAACGGTGGGGATTCCAGACATTGAGATGATTCTGTAAATTTTTCCAGAAAGCGTCCGATTTTAACAATGCTCGCCCTATGTGTGCGTTTTTATGCGAACCTGTGAAAAGTGTGCGTGTCTGACCCGCAGCTTCTCCTGACTGTTCAGCTTCAGGTCCATCTTGCAGCTTGTGAAGCCTTGGTACGATGAGGTCAGAGACTACGTGTTCCCCTACCCCCGAGACTGCAGTCCCAGGTGCCCGGCGCGCTGCTATGGGCCCATGTGTACACATTACACTCAGGTACGGCTCACGGGTACGGGCACGCTGAGCCGGGCCCACGAGTACGCGTTACACTCGGGTACGGCTCACGGGTACGGGCACGCTGAGCCGGGCCCACGNCGGCTCACGGGTACGGGCACGCTGAGCCGGGCCCACGAGTACGCGTTACACTCGGGTACGGCTCACGGGTACGGGCACGCTGAGCCGGGCCCACGTGTACGCGTTACACTCGGGTTCGGCTCACGGGTACGGGCACGCTGAGCCGGGCCCACGTGTACGCGTTACACTCGGGTTCGGCTCACGGGTACGGGCACGCTGAGCCGGGCCCACGTGTACGCTTTACACTCGGGTTCGGCTCACGGGTACGGGCACGCAGAGCCGGGCCCACGTGTACGCTTTACACTCGGGTTCGGCTCACGGGTACGGGCACGCTGAGCTGTGATCTGAGCTGTGATCTGAGCTGCAGACTGAGCCCTGGTCATCACAGCTGCCAAGCACCATGATCGACTTCCAATACACTCCTAGGTTTATTTCCCTCCACTTCCATGCTAAATGGACCCGTTAATATAATATCCCGACCTGCTGTGGAAGGAAGGCTCAGTGGGCATTGCTGTTTCCGTTCGAGTTGGCTAAACCTTCTCCCCGCGTCGGTGGGGGTTTCCGCCGCGTACTCCAGTTTCCGCGCTGGCTCCAAATACACCCCCCTCGGATAAATACCCGAGTAACTGTCCTGAAAGGTTTAATGTTCGGATGGTCGAGTTCAAAGAGTCGACAAACGGCGTAAAAGACCGTCAAAGTACATCTCCAACAATGAAGGTGGCCTTAAAGTGCGGCGATCGTGAACACGCTTCCGTTTCTCCGCAGATGGTGTGGGCGACGTCGAGGAGGGTGGGATGTGCGGTGCAGACTTGCTACAATATGAACGTCTGGGGCTCTCTGTGGAGGAGGGCCACATACCTGGTGTGCAACTACTCCCCGAAGTAGGTATCCATGGTGCAACTACTCCCCGAAGTAGGTATCCATGGTGCAACTACTCCCCGAAGTAGGTATC